AAAACAAAGCACAACAAGAAAGGAAAGCTTGTAGTTAGTTCAAGGACTGTTTGTTGGCTTTTAGGAGTGTTTTCCAGTCCAGTCTGTTGGGGGACCACGCCCTGGCCCCAAAATCCACCTTCAGCATTCCCTGGGGACCTCACCTCTACTTTCCCTAGCTGTTCTGTTGCATCCCCTTAGTGCTTTGCCTCAGTGTGGCGGGATCAGATCAGGCGCAATTCCCACACTGTGTCTCGGTGTTGTCCCATGTAGGGCAATGGGTGCAGACACTATTCTTTCTGATAGCCAGACGCCATCTGATTTCTTCACCACACTTTGCTACAACACTTATATCTTTAGTAATTATTTCATGAGGGCAGGTACTGAACATGGTCATATCATAAGAAAAAGTTGTTCTTAGATAAGAGTTCATGGTTAAGTGTGAGGTCAAAATTCATTTGCGTATTTAAAGTTTAAATATTCCTGTTCCACTTTAGAGGCAGCCTTATCAGCTTGCTGAGAAATACTCTAAGTACCTTCCATGAGACATTTTGCACCCTTCTTTCTTGTTGCTACCTTTTATTTTGTATCTGTTCTGTTTCCACCTTACCTTTATGTATCAGTTCTCCATCTTATCTCCATCCTTTACTTCCCACCTGGCCTTCACTGTTCATCCTGTCTACACCCTGTATCTTGTGCCCACTCTTCATCATGTCTCCATTTTTTACCCTCCAATCTCTCTGCCCTCCATTATACCCTTCAGCGTCTTTCCTCCATTTCCCTTCTTATCACTTGGTTAAAGATCATTTTGAGTTGTCTGTTGATTGTCCCATCTCTATTAGGTAGTGGACTTTCTAAGATGAAGCACTGAATCTTATTCACAGCCATGTTCATAGCATTTGGCACATGTGTCAAAATTGTACGCTGTGTACGTGTCTAAATTGTCAGGACATTATGCAACGATTGCTTAATTTTCAGTCTCATTCCAATTACACCAGTCATTCTTAAGTATAATTATTTTATATTACTTATCTTCCTCAAAGTTTTGTCTACATATATATTTTCTATCTAATTTTAAATTGATTATCAGAAAATATTGTGAATTTTTTCCTTGGAGTTTTACCCATAATTTTCTCTCATAGTTTAACGAGAAAAGTAGATCCCTCTACATGCATTTCCTTATAAAGTTGTGTAAAGTTTGAAATTGTCCTGAAAGTGACAGAAACTCCCCTCTATAATGTATCCACCCTTTATCTTTTCCATTGTTTCTGCCCTCCATTTTGTATTCTTCATCCATAGGAGGCTTACATAATGCATTATTAAACGATGGGATAATTTTCCTCCATTTTCTCTCTTGTCACCTGGTTAGGGCCTTATGACCTGAACAAGTATTTACTGAGTGATTTCAAGAGCGAGCATGTGATTCAAATTCAGGTTTTTCTGACCCCTGTTCTTTTAGCCCTCCACAGAGAAGAGGCAGAGCTAAGGGACAGTGATCTTTCTCTCTTTGTTTTGTAGCAGGGCGGGTATGAGAGAAGTAATACACGTGAAAGGGCCTAGGACTGGTGGCTGGCACACAGGAAGTGCTCTATAGATGCTGTTAATTTTGCTGCTGTTCAGGGAATAGTCAACCGGACCTCCCAATAACAGTTGCCAAAATAGCCTAGTTCTCTTTTACTCCTGACACTTTCTGAATTTGATTTCAGAGCACCACCAGATGAACACTGGACATTTTTCAGACGCAGAATAGAACTTATACCCTTGGGATATCAAAACTGTATTCCAAGGGACTAATTAGATGATGACAACAACATTGTCCTCAACAGTGAATGAGGCAGCAGCTGGTTCCAACATCAATCCAGGAAGTGGCCCTGTGACGGGAGAACTGGTCTCCCTCAGAGAGGCAGAAAGCACGCAACACTGGTAATCCCTATGTTCTCATTCACACCTTATAAATCACCCATTTCAGCATTAGGAGAAAGTTTTCTCACCCAAACTATGCTGATAGCACTCACAATTCAGCTACCTCCTCTGTAGCCTTCTGTGAGATTTTCTCCTGAATGTTAGCAACAGCGGTTTGTTTTAGCCAGAGGAAGTAGAACAAGCAAAGTGGTCGCTGTATCATAAGTACACAGGTTTCAGGGATGAGAGACCAGGGAGTCAGCAGTACATTGCCCTAGAACCAATCACGTGACTTTGGACCAGCTGCACATAGTCTTTCTGGGCTCAAATGCACCATCTGTAAAATGGAAGCAACTTGAAAATACAAACTTAGAAGTCATAGAGTTCTTCAGCAAAGAAACAGAAAATGGTTGATAGTGTGAATTGCCATAGGATTGTAAATGGCTGACTCCCTATTTGGTTTTCACTTAACAGCACTCTGAGAAACTCCAGTTCAGATGAGATTCTGTAATTGATAGAAGTCGTCCAGTCTCTGCTTTGCCTCACTATGGAAAACAATTACAATCTTATCCAGAAGTGTACTCAGGTGTGAGCAGTCCAATTTGGGACAACACACTTGAAGCTGGTTCAGATAGCCCTTTCAGAACTTGTCCGCATCTACGATTCCAAGATGTGAGGATGGGAAAAAGTCCCGGTGACCTGCCAGGATCATCAGGTCCAGTCAATGTAAGTTTTCTAAATCTATTTTTAAAAATAGCTAAAAGAAAAATGCAACTCGAATGAAAGTGCAGCAGACAAATTTTGGTAGAATTCTCATTAATTTCCACAAAATAATTGTTTCTCATGTTAAGCTAAATAGGGTACTTCTTTCTTGGCTAGTTTTTGCTTTCTTTTCACAAATAATTTGTCTTTTGTTCTGACATGTTTGGAGCAAAAAGATGAATTGACTTGCATTTTTAATGTATGGGCATGAAGACTCACTGCTATCGAGTTCATGTTGACTCATAGCTGCCCTGCAGGACACGGTCTAGCTACTTCTGTGGATTTCTGAGACTGACTCTTTATGGGAGTAGAAAACCCCGTCTTTCTCCTGCATCTGTGGGTGTACACATTCGTTATTTGGTTACATGTATATCTTTCAGTATTGATCATATGTTCTCCAACCTCTGGTGTTCTGGATGAATATTAATATTAAAGTATCGTTTATAGTAAGCTTATACTTGCATCAATATCTACTACTTCAGAACAAATACATCGAGATTCTTGCTTCTTGAAGCCACAGGAAGAGTTTGTTGTCCCTGGTGTTGATAATGACCATCAATCTGACATGACATTTACTGAAAATTCATCACATGCCAGGCTCAGTATAAACACTTGACAATCATAGCTGCATTTCTTCTTTTCTGTGACTCAAGGGGGTGGGCGTCTGATTGCTACTGAGTGGGTTCCAACTCATGGCCATGTCATGCATATTAGAACTATTCTAGTAAGTTCCATAAGAATTTCATTGGCTGATTTGGCTTTGGTCCATAGGTCCCCTACTCTTTCTTCCAAAGCACTTCTGGATTCTAGCGATCTAGCTTTCAGCGAGTACCTGAGTGCTAAAGTATTTGCGCCATCCAGAGACTCCTGGGGAGGTAGCACCACTCTCATCTTTCCTGATAAGAAAGTTGAGCCTTTGAAAGGTTGTCATTGCTGACGGTCACACCAATAACAAATGTCAGAGGAAGGATTCAAATCTAGATGCGAATAAGTGACAGGATAGCGCAGCGGTGAAGCTCTCAGACTGTGGCGTTCAGGCTGCCTGGGGTCAAGCCCAGAGCTGCCACTTATCAGTGGGTATGCTTTCATAAGTTACTAACTGGAAGACGGAGGGGGGGTGGTTGTGAAGGAAGAGGAAGAATGACATCACTACATTGGGTGACACCAGCCTGGTGACACCATTGACACACGGGTTTGCATTTTTTTTAGACTACAGGTTGTGCTCTTGGCTGAGAGGTCCAATGTTATAGTGGGTTACTTGTTGGCCTGCTAACCAAGTTAGCAGTTCGAGTCACCACCAGTCCCACAGGAGAAAGAGAAGGTTGTCTCCTCCCATAAAGATTTACTGTCCTGGAAACCCAAAGGGGCAGTTTCTGGTCTGTTCTCCAGGCTCAGTGTGAGTCAGAATTGACTCAATGGCAGTGAACTTGAGTTTTATTGTTAAACTCTGAAGAGACTCCATTTGACATGTCATTTGTATCAGCCCCCATTGCCTTCTTGCAAAGAGAGAGGAGAAGGAGAGAGCAAAACTAAACTGCAAAAAAGGTTCCCAATCAGTACAGGAAGTGTCTCTCCAGCATTTTCTTCTATCGGTACATTCTTCTGACATTTAATGACCCGTTTAATTCTTATCACACCGAGCATCATCCCTTCAGCAAGTAGAAAGATTTAGATAATTTAGACAGGGAGGATGTCTCTCCAAGGGAGGATATAGTGTGGCGGTTCAGTTGTAGAATTCGTTTCCTTAGTGCATTAATTAAAACAGAATAGAATTTCTCCACAATGTTTTTGAAGCTACCTTGTGCATATGTACATTGGTAGAAAAGGAAGTGAGTGTGACTAAAAAGAAAATCTTACAATCCTCTCCCCTACTCCCTGAAGGAATTCTGTTACAATTCTGTGTTTTGCTTGGTTTATAGGTCAGACCATGTCAGCATTCTCCGTGTCCTTGGGATCCGTGGAAGTACCACACAATGGCACGGCGTTTATCATGCTGGGGCTCTCACAGACTACAGCGGTGCAGAGAGTTCTCTTCGTGGTCTTTTTGATCATCTATGTGGTGACAGTTTGTGGCAACATGGGTATTGTCATCACCATCGCCTCCAGTCCCATCCTGGCCTCCCCCATGTATTTCTTCCTGGCCAATCTGTCCTTTATTGACACTTACTATTCTTCTTCCATGACCCCTAAACTCATTGCTGACTCCTTGTATGAAGTGAGAGCCATCTCCTACGAGGGCTGCATGATTCAGCTCTTTGGGGCCCATTTTTGGGGAGGCGTGGAGATCATCCTGCTCACAATCATGGCCTATGACCGCTATGTGGCCATCTGTAAGCCCCTGCACTACACAACAACCATGACCAGACAGCTCTGTGCCTTGCTTGTTGGGGTGGCCTGGTTCGGGGGCTTTCTGCATTCATTGATTCAGCTCCTCCTTGTTCTTCAATTGCCCTTCTGTGGGTCCAATGTGATCAATCACTTTGTCTGTGATTTGTACCCTTTGCTGGAACTCGCCTGCACCAACACATATGTCATTGGCCTGCTGGTGATTGCCAACAGTGGTGTGATCTGCCTGCTGAACTTCTTGATGTTGGCTGCCTCCTACATTGCCATCCTGCGCTCCCTGAGGTCCCACAGTGCAGAGGGTAGACGCAAAGCCCTCTCTACCTGTGGGGCCCACTTCACTGTTGTCACCTTGTTCTTTGTACCTTGCATTTTTACTTATATGCGCCCATCTTCTACTCTCCCTATAGACAAACACATGGCAGTATTTTATGGTATTCTGACACCTATGTTGAACCCACTCATTTATACTCTGAGAAATGAAGAGGTAAAAAATGCTATGAGGAAGCTCTTCATGCAACAAGAAGGTAAAGATGTGCCGTGAGCAGCAAAGCAGGGAATAAAAAATGACTTTATTTCTCTGAATGGAAGAACCCAAGCTTGTGTTTTGTTACTTCATGTCATTCCATCTTATGCCTTCTCTCATCTTCATGGACTTTTTAAGGTTTGCCCCATCTTTTTATGTGAACAACATATGATTTGTCAAAAACTCTGTGGAAATAGATATGCAATGTAATGAACAAATATTACCCTTCTTTTAGAAACGTGGAAACTAAGTCTCCAGGTTTATTTAATCTATTAATTAAGATGATCTAGCTTTGCAGTGCCTAAACTAAAAGTCAATAGTAGTCATTGCTGATCTCCTGTCCACGATTAAGTCATTTGAGTTTGTGTGATCATTGAGTAGTTGAAACCCAATGCAAAATACAACTTAAGATAAACAACCTCATATATCTGTGCATACTCATCGAGACCTGGCTTTTATTCCTGGACATCACTATGACACCGTTCCTGGATGGCGAATATAGTTCATGCGCTTGGCTGCTGAGAGTCTCCCTGAAGCACCTTGGAAGAAAGGTCTGACCATATCCTTCTGAAAAGCTTATCATGGAAAACCCTTTGGCCAATTCTACTCAGACATGGTTGTCCAAAGTTGGTATCGGCACTACGGCAACTGGTTTGGTTTGATTTTATAGGTGCAATGGGAGCCCTGGTGGTGTATGGTTACGCGTTCTGCTGCGAGCTGCGTGATCAACAGTTTGAAACCACCAGTAGATCCTTAGGAGAAAGACTAGGCTTTCCACTCCCACAAACAGTTGTTACAGTTTCGAAACTCCAAGCAGCTCGCTATGAGTCAGCATTGACTCAATGGCAATGAGTTTGGTTTTATGTTTATACTGTGGCAGAGAGATGAAGATCTCTGACTCTGGTTATGGATTATTCTGCATTTTAATCTCATTTCCCATGCTTGCCAATGACCGCTGCGCTTGTCTTAAAAATAATTATAAGGAGAGTACATCTCTCAGAGTGATTCTGTTTTATGAGAGTCTAAAATCTGAGCGGGGTGGTGTGTGCAAACAGACAAGCCTGAAAGATGAGCCCTAACCCTATCTTAAAAGTGTGACCTGAAGTTAGAATCCCTGTTGATTTTTAAAGGAACCCTGGTAAATGCAGTGGTTACGTGTGGGGCTGTTAAACGCAAGGTCAGAAGTTTGAAACCACCAATAAGCAAGAAAATGTTTTTGTTCTGTTGACAGTCCATGATACGTTCAATATTCTTCATCAGTACCATAATTCAAAATTCATCACTTCTTCTTTGGCTTTCCTTAGCCAATGCTTAACTTTCAAATGCATGTGGCATAATTGAAAATACCACAGATTGGGTCAGGCACACATTAGTCTTCAAAGCAACATTCCTGGCGTAGTAAACTCTATGACTCTGATTCAAAATGGGTAAAAATCAGTCCACTTCAGCTACATGATACCTAAAATATCTATCTTTATGCATTCCATTTCACATTTGATGATTTCCAGTTTTCCTAGATTCATGCTTTGTACATTCCAAGTTCTGAGTATCAGTAGATGTTTGCAGCTGTTTCTTCTCATGTTGAGATATGCCCCATCGGCAAATGGAGGTCCTAAAGGCTTTACTACTCTACCCATGTCATCATGGCAGATTTTTCTTTGAGACGGCAGCTCTTCCTCAGTCATATTTTGAGTGCCTCCCAACGTGAGGGGCTCACCTTCTGGCTCTATAGCTGACAACGTCCTGTTGCTGGTCATCCAGTTTTCATTTGCTAATTCCTTAGAAGTGGCCTGACCACTCCTCCTTAATCTCAAAACTTAGTCTGTTCTTCGTCTGGACACTCTGTTTATGTCTGTTCACTTTGGGTGACCCTGATGGCATTTGAAATACCAGTGACATAGCTTCTAGTATCACAGCAACACACAAGCTACCACACTATGACAATACAACAAACTGAAAGAAAAGCGATGGTTCACTTATTAGTGATCAGAATTGTAGACATGATGATCCTCGCGGTTACTATGCTGTTGCTATGTGCTCCTTCATAGCGATGCTACATACAACCGAATGAAACACTGCCTGGTCTGGGCCATTTTCACCATCATTGTTACACTGGAGCCCTTTGTGGCCGTCATTGTGTCAATTCTTCTCATTGAGGTTCTTGGCTCATTGTTATGGAACTAAACATTTGATTGAGGAGCAAAAGAGATGGTCATTTTGGCATAATTTAATACCTCATAAATTTCATGGTCCTAAAGAACATAAGGCTTGGGGAAAGAGGGGTTGCCAAATAAATAGAGAGACTGAATGGTGTAAACCAGGTTGTCCGGTCAAACTTTGGAGATATCCTTTGTCCAATAGACCTGCGCTGGAGGGTCAGACATATTTTATGCAAATTCCTGTCTCAAGCTGTCTTAAGTATGTTTTAGTAATGATCTGTAGATGTTTCCATTGTGCAGGAGACTTTCCTAGCCACACAACCACCCCAACTTTTGTAGCACATAATTTGGAAATATTATTACCACATGGGGAATGCCAAAAAGTCTTTGATGTGACAGAAGCACCCCACTCCAGGGACAAAATCATAATGGAAGTATATAAGATATTTACTAGTTTTCCAGAGCCGCCGTTCTCCTTATCACCCGCATTATTCTGCTGCGGTGCTATTGTATTTCTTAAAACGGGTAAACTTATAACTGTCCCCTGGAAGGTAACAATTATTCGAGGTGTTACTTTATGTTTAACATTAATGACTTTTAAAATTACTCTATTTTGACAATTGGTGCTTATTGAAGGAGTTAAATATTGCATAACAGTTGCAGCTAACGCTTTGACCCAGAGAACAGACATGTTATCAATGAAGTGACTTATGTACATTAATAACACCTATTCCATTTATTGATTGGAGTCTTCATTCTAAAGCTTTCCAAATGACATAGTGGCAAAGTAGTCATCCTTGAATGTAGCCGCAACATATTTTATCAAGGGTCATGAGGGTGGGTAGGGGAGGGAGGGAAAAAAGAGGAGTTGATACCAAGGGCTGAAATAGAAAGTAAATGTCTAGAATAGAATGATGGCAACATATGAACAAATAGGCTCAATACAATTGATATATGGATTATTATAAGAGTTGCAAGAGCTACCACTAAAATGATCTTTAAAAAAATCACTGAAGCTTGGGTGTTACATCTAGGCACAGTGAAGACAGGGGATTGTTACCTGATCATTGAAAAAATATAGTTTCTGTGGTTTTAAAGATTTTCACATAGAAGAGTCTATACAGAAGAAAGCATGCCACCCTATGTTTGATCAATTACTAGAGAGAGAGACGGAGGAGGATGTCTGCTTTCTTTCAAATCTCTGGTTTTCTAATTTGAAGAATGGGAATAATAAAAGTACCAAATTCATAGAACTGTTATGAGACTTGAATGTGACAGGAATATCCAGCACTGTCCACATAAGCTAAGTTAAAGGGGTTATAATGATTTCTATTTGTTACCAACACAGGTCTCATTCATGGAGACTGAGAAACGAAGACAGATTGGATGGAAGTGAAAAGGGAAAGCTTTACTTTGGATGATCAAGAAGGGAAAAGCCAGGACCAGAGTCACCAAGGCAAGCTCCAGGAAAAATTAGATGTACAGTTTTATACATGTGTACCAGGAAGTACAGTTAGGGCATTATGAATATGTAACAGGTTTCATGGAAATAGTAATGAATATGCATTAGGGTGGGGTTATGATTCTTGACAGGATATGGCTTCTTGGACTCCTCATTAAAAAAATACTTTTATTGGGGTCTCTTACAGGTCTTATCACAATCCATCCATCCATCCATTGTATCAAGCACATTTGTATATATGCTGCCATCATCATTTTCAGAGCATTTTCTTTCTATTTGAGAACTTGGTATCAGCTCCTCATTTTACCCTCCCCCTCCTCCCTCATGAACTCTTGATAATTATAAATTATTATTATTTTTTCATGTCTTGCACTGTCCGGTGTCTCCATTTTGACTTGATCTGTTGGCAGCTTTCTAGTGCCTTTGGTTCCTGGACCAAAGTATTTTTGTTCCGGGGTGACCAGAAGATTGTGACTGTCCTTTCTGTGCTTGTTCAGCTGACCAGGACTGGTCATAACCAATACTTGCTTACGATGATGAGTTACTTTCCTTGAAGGAAAGGACTCAAAATAGATACGTTATCATGAAGGAAAGTACAGGTTAATTATGGGCAATAAATTATACATATTTGCATCTATATATATTCCAACATCTTGTAACAATATCTCATATCCTAAAGGTAGGCTTCTTGGGAAAATTGTAGCATTTACAATGTTATACAGGGCTAGACAGGTTGGGGAGCAGTCTCATAATATTAGTATTTTACTGATGCTCACACCCTCCTAATATTAGGGGCACTATCATCTTCAAATAATGAAATATTTGAGACAGATGATAGTTCCAGGTTGAAGACTAAATAAATCAACTAAGGACAAAATGCCAGCATTCTCCATCTCCCAACCATGTAAATAGTAAGGTCAGAGCTTTAATCAGAGAAAATTCTCAATAAATATTCATTACTGTCACCACCACCACCATCGTCATTTTTACTTTTTTTTTTTTTAACATTTAAGAAATACTGTTTTTTTTTTTAAAAAAAATCGTTTTATTGGGGGCTCACACAACAAGAAATACTGCTTTATGTTGAATCCTTCCTAGGAACTACAACTAGATTTTTCAAAAGATAAATTCGATTTTTTCTTTAAAAAATTTTTTTTTGTTGTAAACTTGTTTCTTTATTGAGAGGGTAAATCCAAATTTTTAAGGCTCAAAATTGCTCATATATATTTCAAGCTAGACGTTTATAGGGAATTATGGCAAAGCATCTTTTTCAGAAATTATTTTATTGTTGCTGAGAATATGCACAGCAAAACATACACCAATGCAACAGTTTCTACACGTGCTAGCTAGACATTGATTACATTCTTCAGTTGTGAGTGCAACATCCTCACCTTCCTTCTATGAGCTGTTCCCTGCACACCCTCACCTCCCACTAACAATTCACCGCCCTTAACTTCCTATCTGATCTTTCAAGTTACTGTTGTCAACTTGGTCCTTTACAGATAGCTCTTACAAGAGCATAATGCTAAAGGGAGATGTTTTTCACTAGTTAAGCTGAAGTTATGTTTCAAGACGACTCAGGAGGTTTGTTTAAGGCTGAAGGATCATCCAGTCTTCACGGCTCCACAAAATCTGCTGTTTACAAAGCAGCTGTTTATAAGAGGTGTGACCTATGAGATCGGACTCAACTGAAAGCCCCAAGAACACGAGATATCCCAGTACCATGTGATTGTTGAATGCCTGGTTATCAATCTCCTTCTGCAAACAAGTTTCTGATTTTTCTGTAGGAAACACAAGCTCTGTATAGATACGTCTTTTGGCCTCTGACCCTGGCCATAACCTTCTCATGCTTTCAGAGGATCAGAACAGGACAGAATCCATCATTAGCAAGTGTATTTTTAAAATTAATTCTGCTTAAAGCATTTTATAGTCCTTTTCTCCAATATGCTCATTTGTATCTGCAGAAATGTTAAAGACCATTTGTATCCCAGAATAGTGAATTAGTGATGGGCCCACTCTTCAGTTCCTGCAGGCCACATGATTGGTGTTTTTTAGAATCCTTGTGAATTGTCCTTGTTATTACTGTGAGGCTGGCTCTGATTCACGGTGATCCCATGTACAACAGAGGGAAGCATTGCCTGGTGCTGTACCATCTTCATGATTGTTGCTAAACTCAAGTTCATTGTTCCGACCACTTTGCAAAGTTTGGAGAGCTTTCTTTTCAATCTGGGGGGATACATCTTCCAGCATTTTATCAACCAATTTTCTATTGTGATGCATAGAGTTTTCATTGACTGATTTTTGGACTCAGAATACAAAGCTTTCTGTCTTTTTTTTGTCTTAATCTAGAAGTTTCTTTGAAACCTGGCCATCATGGTGACCCTGTGGGTATTTGAAGTAATGGTGGCCCAGATTCCAACATCATAGCAACACATAAGCCAAACAAAGCGATAGAGGGGCGGTGGCTGAAGTAATAGCAATAATTTTGAAAAGTATCTTTGCATACACATATGTTCTTCTTGGGATTATGCTGTCCAAAACATTTTCTTCTTCTGTTGTGGGAAAACACAGATGCCCCTCAAATTAAGGCAAGTAAATAAAATAAAAAAGTAAATTTTGATGAAAGAGCTTCTTGAAGACTCTCTACCATCTATTTTCAACTACTTTCACACAAGCTATTTTTTCTTGTTTTAAAATAATACACTCTCCTAATGATGTGTATAAAGTTTCTATAGATATGTTTTACATATAATCAATCCCACATTATCATGTTTGTGAACCCTACATACTTTTGCTTCCATAGATACCTTTACCATTAAAGTATTTGGACCTAGAAAAGTATTGAGCACTCTAGCATTGTGTCTAGGAGATGTATTAGCCCAGCCCATAATACAAGGGCTGCTACAGAAAATTGATTCAGATGGGATAAGAATGATTTATCTAAATACATCAATCACAAGATTTATTTATCACTGCTTTTCATTAATTGACCCCAGAGCTTCTTCATGGCATTTTTCACTTCTGCATTTCTTAGGGTGTAGATTAGAGGGTTTAACATCGGCGTGATTAGGGTACAAAATACAGTCACTGCTTTGTCAGCAGGGAAGGAGGTCATGGGCCTTAGGTACAGGAATGAACAAGGTACAAAGAATAAGATAACAACAGTGACATGAGAGGCACATGTCGAGAGGGCTTTGCGGCGCCCTTCAGAGCTGTAACCCCGTAGGGAGCGCAGGATGATGACATAGGAAGCAACCAGCATTGAAAAAGTGAGTAAACATAGCGACCCACTATTAGCAGCAATCAGGGGCCCCGAAGTGTGAGTGTCCGTGCAGGCCAGCTCCAGGAGTGGTATTAAATCACACATGAAATGGTTAATGATATTGGGACCACAAAATGGTAACTGGACCATGAACCAAAGCTGGATCCCACCATGAATAAATCCTAAAGCCCCAGCCATTCCCACCAGGAAATGACACAGAGGTCTACTCATGATGGTTGTGTAGTGTAAGGGCTTACAGATGGCCACATATCGGTCATAGGCCATTGCCATTAACAAGATGATCTCAGCTGCAGCCAAAAAATGCTCAGCAAAGAGTTGAGTCATGCAGCCACTGAAGGATATGGTGTTTTTCTCCGCGATTAAGTCAAAGATCATTTTTGGAGCTATGGAGGAAGAGTAGAAGCCATCTATAATGGACAAACAGGACAGAAAAAAGTACATGGGAGAACCTAAGGCTGGGCTGAGGAAGATAGTGACCGAGATGAACAGGTTACCTGCCAGCGTGACCAAATAGGTGATTAAACACACGGGAAATAAAAGTTTCTGAAGTTCTGGATTCTGAGTCAGACCCAGCAGGAAGAATTCTGTAACATTGTTCATCCTGTCACTGAGTTCAGCTTGAGTTGAGAGGATGGGGCCCATCTGAAAAGAGCACAGTATTTCTGAGTGATGATATTTTATTCAATCGCAACATATGTCATCATCTCTTTAGTGCTGGTCCCTGGAATTGAGAGTTATAAAGAAGAAGAGAGGAGGCTTGTTTTGTATTCATCACACAGTAGCAATACTTTAAAAACATCGCAATAAAAGTCAGGTGTTATCATAAATTTATGGCTGGCTTCCAAACTCGCCCTCTGTCTCGGAAAGTCAGATTGTAAGATTGACTTTCTTTCTCGTTTGGTGGCACATCTCATCAATGCTAATTATTTTGGAAATTGTACTTGTCCATTAGCATGAATAGTCATAGGTTTAGGAACACAATGTTCTTTTAAAAAGTCAACTGTGCGTCAGATATAAACTTTACAGAAGTGCTATAGCTCTATCAGCTGTGGTATGTAATTCATTCTTCCTTTCCGTCAGATGAATGCACAGGCACGTCTGATAAAGACAGAGCTGCAGATGGAGATTCCATTTTTCTTTCAAAATGCGTGGCAATTCTTTTCAACACCCATCAAGCTGTCAAAAGCTATGAAACTATCCACCGCGTGTTAAAAAAAGTTCTTATTAATTGTGTCCTTGCATGTTTTAACTGGCTCAACATAGCCCTTTATTTTACTCTCAATCTTCCCAGCTGTTCATCTTTGGCTATAGTCAAGTAAATGGTGTGATGTCCTGTGAAATGTTCACAAAATTTGCTAACTATATTTTACATGCAATGGGTCTTTTACCATGTAGGCAGGGTCATGTTCTGAAATAGATCTATTTCCTCATTTACAATTTACAGATGAAATTGAATGAATCATGAGTTTCTAATTAATAAGACAGAAATGTAAGATAATATACTTTTTTTCCCCTTTGGCACAATATAATTCATTAAGATAAATGTGAAGTTTCATTGCTAACTAAAGTAAATATTGAACATATACAAGACTAGATGATGATATTCTTTATTTGGGGAATGATATATACATGGATTTTAAAGAATGAGCACGTTATTTTTATGAAGTATCATAAGATAATTTACTCTCTCCTGCCCTTCCTTCTCATCCCCTGTAAAACGTAATAAAGTCCTTTCCCTTAAACATTTATGGGCACCATCTATCAGAAAGAATAGCATCTGAGTTATTAAAGGCTTGTGTTAAAACAACCAGCCATCTAAATGAGCCATCAGATAAGTCCACATGGAAGAAGCACACCAGCCTGTGTGATCCAAGGATTGTAAATAATAAAATCCAAATCTGGAGGAGGGAAGAGTATTAGAACTTAAATTCTGAACATCCGCTTTTTCAGAATTATATGGATGAGAGTAGAAGATCAAAATCCATCTGCAGGGCCTCCACGAGGATCAAGCTTCTGGTGAGTATTCCCTGACTATGGACTGGGCTTGTGAATCACCGTGCTATCAGACAGCGTGCATTGTAGGCTGGATTCCTGCAGCTGTCTGGATTAAAATGTGTACCTTGTCATTTGATGTCCCATTTTAAATTTATTCCAGTTTCTAGTATTTTCTGCCTTCTTTTCTAGTGAGTGTTTTCTCAGTTTTATTGTGCCATTGTTGTTGTTGTTTTTGGTATGTTTTCCTGTGCATGAAATCCTGGATAGGTAAGTCTATAGAGTCAGTACCTGGATGAATACTTTCCTAGGGGAGTGGCAGTGAGGTTGAGTTAATAATAACGAGTAAAAGAAAGAACGGAATGTCCTAAAATTGATTGTGATGATAATTATGCAACTATTTTTCATATACTTGAACTATTGAATTGTATAACATATACAATATATGTCAATAAAGTTGGGTAAATACATTGGAATCCATAAACTCAATAGTTATGGTTAAGTTATAAGAATGAGAAAACATTAGCATCAATGACATTCAGTTATAAAGCTGGAAAAGTCCCTAATACATTTTGGTGGTGTGAAAAAAATTTTATGGGCAGAAAATGTAGGATCATGGACTTCTCAGCTTCCGTAAAGAAGAGGGAAACAGCTTGAGTTTTCAGGATGACTTAGTTCTTGAATCATTTTTTTCAGTCTATGGCTTTTGTGATTAGGTAATTAATCATTCCTGATTAATTAGATGAACAAATTTGGGAGTGAGGAAAAGGTCAAAGAAATGTCTAACCATTACTAAAAGAAATTAACAGATTCAGTCTACTTGATGAGACATAATATTGACCAAAAATGCTATAAAAATGGCTTCAATGGTTCTTAAGAGGGTCTGGACTTCACATCACAGACTGGGCATCTATTGATACTTGGGCTTCAGCTCTTCTACGGAGGCCAATCATTTATTCATTTATTTATTTCTTCAGAAAATCTCTCTTTTTAGACCTTAGTATGGACCAGGCATCTGCTACAGGCAGGGCACAGAGGGATGACTGTGAATGCTATCATTATTCATGTAAATCTCTAATCAGATGCATTGATATCCTCAGAAAAGAATTTCATGTCAGTGTGCTCAAATTCATTTTCAGAGAAAAACACTAACCAACAAGTCACAGGATTTTATTACAAAGACTATTTTAGTGGAAATAAATGGACTAAATTAAGTTAGTGTACTTAAAATTTTGAAAGAAAAAGATTTAATGGTCACTGACCTTGGTCTAGTTGATTGTGGATTCCTCATTTTTTAGGTGGATCCCATTCAAGTGATATCTGCCCCTCCTGGTATTTGAAATAAAGCAGCAAACAGACTACATGAGCTTGAAATAAAAGTATTTCTAGCAACAAATTTCAAATGAAAATCTAACAAGTGAGAGACATTTTTTTCCGTATATTTTTAGATAGATGTCTTGGACGTTTTAGTGTATTTTTGTTCCCAATTTTCATTATATGTCCCCGTTATCAGAATTGATTTTCTATTCACTTTCTTTGATTCTCATGGATGTAGAAGTGAGTCATATGCACGTATATTTCATATCTCTTAGAACTGTATTCCATACAAATTAAAAACCTTGAGAATGAGGCAAAGATTTTCAAATCTGGAAAAGCTATTACATAAATATAATCAAGTTGAATTGGTTGGACATTACTTCCTCAAATCAACTGTGCCAAGATTTTGATCTCCTAAAAGTCCATCAGCAGTTTGGAGAGAATTCCTTTTATTCCCAGTTCACACCTTCCTTCTGATTTGGTTTCCTTAGAACCACACTAAGCTTAGAAGCAGTGTCTCCAAAACAAATCTTGGGCTTGCTCATCTGTGGCTCTGCTGCTGTTGATGCTCACAAGCCCTTCTTTAGAATCAGTGTTCATTAATTCTAGAGAGATGCTTTAATAAATGGTTACACAGTGCAAGGTTTGGTAATGCAATGACCTCTCAAATCACCTGAGAATTAGTAATTGGCCCTGTTGAAATCTTTGCAACAGTATCAGCAAAACTCTTTTAGTTAACCCCAGCTGGGAATATCCTTAGAGGTCAGTTTTGAAAAGTAGTTAGCTTGGGTTAAAGGTATATTTCTGCCAATATTTGGGATGAGACTTGGTAGAGTAACTTGGAGACATTCTTTATAAGGTTGTGTTGCTCATTGTGGCTTTGGGAAACCCAGAGTAGGAAGTGTAGATGATTTTATACATGGCAATTCAAATAATGGAGTTCTCTCTGAAAGCATGAGTGTAATTCAATATTTAGTCCATAGAATAATTTTCAATATTTTCGAACTTGAGGTTTAAAATTTATCTTAATTTTTTCAGTTTGATATATGCTGAATTTTTTCTTCTCCTTTGCCTTTCTAACTCCAGGTTTTTGCACATTTCATTTTAATACTTTGTCTTCTTCAATGACTTTGAAATTTTCTATTCAGCTTTTTCTTCGTAATTTCTCCCAATTGCTTTAGCTAATCAGCATTCAAAAGCAAATTTAAGAGTCTTTCTAGCATTCCCTTTAATATTTTCTTATCTTTTAAATGACATTTTGCTTTGTTCATGCATGATGTTCATGTCATCCCACAGTTCACCAGGTATTTTTCAGTTAGCATTCAGCAAGTCAAATCTATCTTGAGATGTCCTCAAAATTTAGATGGGATATACTCAAGGTCATATTTTGGCTTTCATGAACTTGTTTGCATTTTCTTCAGTTTCAACTTGTACTGGCATATGAGTAATTGATGGTCTATTCCATAATCAACCCCTGACCTTTTTTGGTTCTGTATTAAGCTTCCCCATTATCTCTTTCCACTGACGTAGTCAATTTGATTCTTGTACATTCCATTTGGTGAACTCCATGTCAGTAGTTATGTTGTTGAAAAAAGGTATTTGCCTAGGAGGCAAAGGACATTTATAGAGGTCTAAATACAGGCATGTACACACACATATTCATATATAATGACAGGGAAACACATCTATGTACAGGTAGTTATATGTTAAGTATTAAGGTAGCAGGCAGGCATTGGCCCTCGATTCAAGTACTCTCTCAATGTAAGAGCACTTTGTTTGAATAACTCTGTATTCTGTGATGCTTGCCTTCATGACACGGTCACTGAAGACAAATGGGTACATAAGGAAATGTGGCAAAGAAAGATGATGGTGCCCATAAATAAGCGGTTATCTAGCTGAAAAGCAACAAAGCCCACATGGAAGAAGCACACCAGACTGTGTGATCATGAGGTGCCAATGGGATCAGGTATCAGGCATCAAAGACCCAGAACAAAAAATCATATCAATGTGAATGAGGGGGAGGGCAGAGTAGAGACTCAAATACCATCTGTAGACAATTGGGCATCCTCTCACTGAAGGTCACAAGGAAGAGATGAGCCAGGCAGTGTGCAGAATAGCAACAATGAAACATACAACTTTTATCTAGTTTTTTAATGCTCCCTTCCCCCCACCAACCCCCCTTATGACCCCAGTTCTACTTTACAAATTCGGCTAGATCAGAGCATGTACATTGATACAGATAAGAGCTCACAACACAGGGAATCCAGGACATATAAACTCCTCAGGACCAATAATGAGAGTAGTGATACCACTAGGGCAAGGGGAAAGTGGGG